TCTGCCCTCCCCTGCTCATGCTCTATCTCTCTCTCAAAAATAAATAAAATTTTAAAAAAAGTTAAAAAAAAATCTGAGCACAACTCTGCATTTCTTGTAAGTGACCTACAAAACCTTTCATTTATCCCATTTTTCTTTTGAGAGAACCCTCCCCCCACCTCCCCTCCCCCCATATACCATAACTCTTTGACTCTTGAGAACTAAAACTACAGACTTAAGAAACTTATTCTTTTCACTGGGTAGAGAAAAAAGTCTGAGAATGCGTGTGCCCTTCTTTTATTTTCATCTACAGATCTGATGTTTCAGATGAAGGCTATTTGATTGGCAACGCCTTGAGCAGACTGGGAAGATTCCATATCTGACTAAGCCAGCTCTTCTCCCTGCCATGGAAAAAAAAGCAGAAACACGTTCAATTCCTGCCATGCCTTCTATGTGAACAGAAGCGTAAGGGTAGGAAAGGAGGGAGGGGGAGGCCACGGGGGGTGTGGGGTCTTGTGGTTCTCAAAAGAGAGGCTCCTCTCGGCTCAAAGGGGGCTGTGCTTCTGGGTTGAGAAACGTGGCGAAATTGTCCCACAAGGTCAGGCACTTGGAAGGTTAACAGTTCAGCCAGCCTCAGAGAGGGGGCAGCTTGAGTTGAAGGTAGAAATGTGAACTGGCTTCTCCTCCCCACCTTCCCAAGTACACCAGAAGAGAAGATGGACGGAGCCTGAGCCCTTCAGTGGGGACAGGTGGTTGTAGTGGGCAAGTTATAAAGGGATTTGGTATGGGAGCACCTGCTGCAGGCTGTCAATTTCCTGACACAGTCTTATCTCCCAGAGGCCCCATCCTGGCCTTCCTAGATTCCATGCATCTCACTGAAACTTCTTGAATGCATCTCATCTGGCCCATGCAAGCAAGTGCTTGCCTATAAGCCATCTCATATTATTCTCTTTTGTTGAGTCACAGGCCTGCTGGGCTTGAAGCCTGGTTCTACCACTTACTAGCTATGCGATCTTGGGCAAGTTGTCTCAGCCTCTCTGTTCCTCAGTTTGCTCATCTGTTATATAGGGGTAATATCTGCCTTCCCGGGTTCGTCAAGTGACTGGCACCTCATAGGTGCTTAGGAAGTGTCAACTTCTCTTTGGTCACTGTTTCCCATGTGGATGCCCACATGGTTCCCTTAGACTGGAAGATCCTTGAGAGAGCTTCCTTCTCTTCTTCCCCCACCTTCACTCCAGCACCTAGCCCATGGTTGGGCACACAGCACATTGTTACTGAGTCCTTGTTGGATGGAGCTTTCCCGGCTCCCTCAGTGATGCTGATGGAAACCCAGAAATGGGCACGAGGGAATATCAATCTTCCATTTCTGAGTATGAAGGTAACATGTTGAATTCTTTACTTCCTTGATATATTGTTATAGGAAAACTGTCCCCGTGATGAGGCCTGCCTTTAGTGCAAATATAATTTTAGACAATTATGTAGCTCAAGTAAAATTAAAGCCAATGCCTCAGTATCTTGACAAAATGGCCTCTTGATTGGTGTATCAGAAGAGGAGCAGGAAAAGAAATCAATTAGGCTGGCATGCTCATTACCACAGAATTCAGAAGGTTATTAAATATAGCAACAGAATCTGGAATTGACCTGGTCAGATCTATACTTCATTGTCTTGGGACCACACCTCAGTCTTCAGTCATTTGTGAGGTGCAGTGGAAAGAGTAATGGATCAGGAAATGGAGACCAGAGATACCGTCCCAGATTGAGTCATTGATTCACTCATTCAGGCAACAAATATTTACTGAAATTTAGTATCAGTAGTTGTGTGACTTTTTTGAAGTCACTTCATCTCGCTGGGTCTCGTGCTCCCCATCTGTCAAATGGTAACAAATCTATTTATATCATAAGCCTCGTAGACTGTCTTCTATGCAATGGCTACGTGCCTCGCTTGTGGTCATTTGAAAATTAACGTCCAAAGTCTATTTCAAGGGGGCTGAGGATGTTCTGCCTGTCTCATTTTCCTTCCTTACATGTCGGCAAGCCAACCAAGACCAGAGTGAGCAGGAAGGACAGAGAGCTCTGTTATACTGGGCTGAGGCATCATAGGGAATAGCACTCCACTTTGTGTTCCCAAATGGGCCGGACTTCAGACATGGCTCCTGTTATGGGTCGAGTCAGGTCCCCCAAAAAGAGAGGCTGAAGCCCTAACCCTGGGTACCTGTGAATGTTAGGGTCTTTGCAGATGTAATCAAGTTCAGATGCGGTTATTAGGGCGGGCCCTAAACCAATATAACCGAGGTCCTTATAAGAAGAGGGAAATTTGAACAAAGACACAGACACAGAGAGAATGCCATGTGAAGGCAAATGCAGACACACAGGGAAGATGGCGGCAGAGACTGAAGATGTGCAGCCACAAGCCAGGAAACACCTGGGGCCACCGGAAGCTGGAAGAGGCAAGGAAGCATCCTGCCCTCAAGGCTTCAGAGGGAGCATGCCATGCCCCTGCCACACCTAGATTTTAAATCCTAGCTCTTGGAACTGTGAGAGGATAAATTTCTTTTTTTTTTTTTTTTTTTTAAATTTTTTTTTTTTCAACGTTTATTTATTTTTGGGACAGAGAGAGACAGAGCATGAGCGGGGGAGGGGCAGAGAGAGAGGGAGACACAGAATCGGAAACAGGCTCCAGGCTCTGAGCCATCAGCCCAGAGCCCGACGCGGGGCTCGAACTCACGGACCGCGAGATCGTGACCTGGCTGAAGTCGGACGCTTAACCGACTGCGCCACCCAGGCGCCCCTAAATTTCTATTGTTTTAGGCCACCCTGTTTGTGGTATTTTGGTACAACAGCCCTAGGAAACTAATACAGTCCCCGAACAAAAATAACTCCACCACGTACTTCCCTCTGCCTTCCATGTAGTCACGGTGCCTTTCGTTTTCTGTACAAGAACCCACATGAACATGATGCCTTGGCTCCCTGGGCTCCGACCTAGCTTGCAGCGACATGGCTAAATGCACCACGAAGGTCGGAATCGTCGGTAAATATGGGACCCGTTGTGGTGCCTCCCTGAGGAAAATGGCGAAGAAGCTTGAAATAGGCCAGCACACCAAGTAGCCTTGCTCCTTCTGTGACAAAACCAAGACGAAAAGACGAGCTGTGGGGAATCTGGCATCGTGGTTCCCGCATGAAAACTGTAGCGGGTGGTGCCTGGACCTACAACACCACTTCTGCCCTCACAGTAAAGGCGGCCATCAGAAGCCTGAAGGAGTTGAAAGACCAGTAGAAGCTCCACCATTTAACACATTGCTAGCCTATAATAAATAAATTTGTGTGACAAAATTAAAAAAAAAAAAAAAGCAATGCCTCGATCCCACCATCTAAAAATGTGGTCTCCAGAATGGCAGAAAAGGTTGGGTGGAATCCTGAATTCTGCTTTCTGTTTTTCAAATAAGTCAAAATGGAAGGCAAGAGTGCCCCCCCATCTTCATCGTCTCTGCTCTCCCCTTTGATGGAAAATAGTAAGAGTAGGCAGGCATGGGTCCCACAGGCATGCGGCTGACTAAGCAAGCCGCTGCTGCTGGGCCTCAGCATGGAGACCATCTTGGGAAGGCCACGGAGTCCATGTGGGGTCCTGATACAGGCCAGCAGGGCTTAGAGCAGAACTGACCTCATTTAAGTTTTCCAAGCACTGCCGACTTTTCTCCACCTAGACTTCACTCTTGGAGCCAACTAGAAGCTGCTGTCCTAGCAAAGGAGGCATCCCTTCTGTAGGACAAATGAGCAATTCATTTAACCAATGCATAGATGTTATGTTGAAAATTACTCTTTGACAACCACCATAGTAAAAACCGATTCAGGCAAGAGTCATCAATGGATCCTAAAACTAGTGACTGAAAGTTTTATGAAAAACATGTTATTTACATAGTCTCAAAGTATCTCCCCATACATTAGTTATTCAGTACAAAAGGAAAAATTGTATCTTTACACTGGAAAAACATGGCAGATGTCACCTTAACAATTAATCAAAGTTAACATCACCGACAATCACTGGATCCCTTTTAATGTTTGACTCATGCTCGAAATGCCTGACCTCTCATCACGAGGACACATCAAGCAAACCCCGACTGGGGACCGTTCTGCAAAATAACTGGCCTGTGCTCTTCCAAGATGCTGATGTCTTCAAAGACAAAGAAAGGCTGAGGGCTGTTCCAGATGGAAGGACACATGAGAGAAGTAAGAGACGTGACAGCTACATACAATGTGTGATCCTAGACTGCATCATGGACCAGGAAGAAAATAGCTGTGACGGACACTCTTGGTACAATGAGCAGAATCGGAGTATGACCTGTAGATTATATAATAGTATGTTGTATCTAATGTTATATTTCTGGAATTTGCCAACTTTACCATGTTTATCTAACAGGATGTCCTTGTTCTTAGGAAACACGTATTGATGTCTGCGATTTACTCCCCAGAGCCTCACACGCAAAAATGTGTGTATGTGTGTGTGTGTGTGTGTGTGTGTGTGTGTGTGCGTGTGTGTGTGTGTAGGGAGAATGGTCGATGTAACAAGATGCTAACACCAGATGAATCTGGATGAAGGGCACGTGAAAGTTCTTTCTGCTATTTTTGCACACAATTTTCTGTACGCCGGAAGTATTTCAAATTAAAATTGTAAAAATGTATTATTTCGAGTATTTAACCATGTGCCCGATGCCGTGCTCGGTGTGAGATATTCAAGGGAGAACAAAACACAGGCTTGATCCTTAACCCAGGAGCTCGTAGTCTGGGATGGACAGGACAAAAAAAAAAAAAAAAAAAAAAAAGAGGCCAGCACATTTTGGCGTCACAAAGGAAGTGGTGAGAGCACAGAGAAGGTATGCCAAACCTAGACTGCCTGAGGAAGGGGGTCATAGGAGGCTGTTTCTAGAGGAAGTAAAGGGGAGGCTAGGGGCATACACAAGCAGAGTTGACCGACGGACTGCGGGCACAGGGAAGATGCCCGGACCTGTAGGCAGCAAGGGGAAGCCACCTGCCTCCTGAGGACAAACAACAAGGCATGGATTAGCAGGTGTTGGGGGCCAGGCCAAAGTCCCCGTAGCTTCCTAGGTAACAGAAGAAGCGCAGACACAAGCAAAACAACTTAAGGCTGTATACTGAATGTCCTAGAGACATCAGCCCCCAGACGGATAAATATATGCAACCTGGACAAATGCATGGCCCCAAATTAGTTAGGATTGCTAATAATAGACCATGAGGCAGGAAGAGAACATCAAGTGATCATAAAAAACTAAAGACGTGATTTTTTGAGAACAGGATGAACTTCACCAGCAATAAGGATAAGGTGGTACCCAATTAACACACAACAGGGTGGGGAGAGGTTGCTGTTAACAGGAAAAGTCCTGAAAAT